GTAAACTTGAATTGGGATTCCCATTATTCTTAATTCGAATGCATATACCTCGTGCGAGTTAATCTGAGTTCAGACTCCAGTACAACATGTATGCTATACCAAGGTAACCTAGCCTAAGTCCCCGACTAGACTTCAAATCCGGTGGCCTGTCACTCTCCCGTCACACAATTTGCTTTTTGTGTGATATTAAGGGGTGGGTTGTGTGATTTGGACGCGTTCTCAGGTTGCGACCCCGACGGTACCACCGGAATTGTTGATCTAGCACTGCCGTTTGGCTGGAACGGATCACCTGCTCTCTACGGTATCTACGTGAATGCGATCTGTCACATCGTGCCGGAAACAAGTCTTGCAGGGCTATTTCCGGACGGCAGTACGGACACAACCCCGTACTTTGCCTACGCGTGTGTAGGTGATCACATTATGATCGAGCCCATATCGAGACGCGATGTGCCACCGCCGAGGATGAGTTGCGCCTAGCTATGCTCGCAGTCCTCGGACCCCATGCGATCAACGAGCAGAAATACACGGGATGGGCGACGCAAATCGCGGCTCTTGGCCTCGAGTGGGACACGGAGGCCTGCACAGTATCTATTTTTCCTACAGCCAAAATTAAAAAGGCTCGCCCACGAGTAGCAGTGACACACGGACCCAGAAGCGCGGGCTGGACCAGCTTCTCGGCAACCTCTGGCACGTGGCCTCGTGCGTACCGGCCGCTCGGCCATTTTACCAGCGCCTTCATGCACTCGGCATGTTCCGCCACGGATCAGCAGCACACTCCGACTGGGCTCGCGCATATCTTCAGTGGTTCGAGGCAATCCTGCAAGGGGTGCCGACAAAATACTTCGGCTCGCTCCCAGAACCAGACATTCATTACTACATGGACGCCAGTAATACGGGTTGCTGTATCCTGGGACCGGCACAGCGACGGTACTTAATCGTCCAGTTCAACCCGGAGAAGGTACAGATCAAAGGGTTGACCAAGGCAGCCCTATTTGATATCAACGTCCGCGAGCACTTCTGCGTGGCGCTGGCGGCAGTTCTCTTGGCTCCACGCCAGAGCCAGACGTCCTCGGCAAACTGGCCACACATACAATGTTGAACGGATAACACCAGCGCGTGCTCCAGGACGAACTCGCAAGCCAGTGCGTCAAGCTACTCTCAAGAAATTAATAGGGTGTTCGGCCTTGCCGAAGCTACTTCTGGTTTTCGCATCTCGGCAGCACACCTTCCCGGGGCTAGCAACACTCTAGCGGATGCAGGATCCCGGCTTCATGCTGCTACAACTCATCACCACATTACTAATTATATGTCTGCTTATGGTTGGATACAGGTTGAAGTACCCGCTCGACTCCGGTTCCTATACAGGGATTTCTCGCGAAACTTCAAGTGTGCAATAGCTGTGTCCAGTACGCGCAGCATGCGCACTAGTAATGGAAAGATCAACATCACGACCTGACGCGTCGATCACCAAAGTACGTGTCGGGTACATCGTATCTGCTTTCGAAGTGAGTGGCCACATAAAGCAAGCGGCTACGAGATGCGGAGATGATAGCACAAAGTTCGGTACCCACTAACTCCGAAGCGGTGGAGCTACCACACTGTTTGCAGCTGGCAGTAACGAGACGACAGTAAAGCTACATGGACGCTGGAAGAGCGAGTGCTTCCTAAGATACGTGCACATCGACCACTCAACAAGCAGCAACTTGGCCACACTCATGGTGAACAAAGACGGGTAAACTTCAGCATCAGCAGTTCGTTGAACTCGACATGGGGAGCCTCCTCTAAGAGGAAGCCGCCGATAAATTGCCCTTACCCGCTCACAATTGAGTGTGGCCCCCAGATTCACGAACCAAAAGAGGTTATGTTTGGGTTAGTGAGATCTTGAACGAAGAGTCGTGCTCTAATGCGTACCCAAACATTATGAAGCTCTAAGAGTCACTACCAGCAGTATCTGTAAGTAGGATAGTTAAATCTCAAGTTTGCCAAGTGGTTAATAAGTACGTCATATAGTTTCGTAACTCCAGTTGTCTGTACGCCTGCGTTGAGATATTTGGACGAATGTTTTCACAACTGGCAACGTTGATGGAGTACTCTGAAAACAACAATGAAAACACTGTTGGAAGCGAGTCGAACCTGATAGCATTCGTCACGTGTTACGTTGACTTCAATTTTTATTGCAATGTACGGTATATAAAACAACAACAATGTTTCTTGCTCACACCACATTCGACGTTTTATACTTACCCAAAATGAAACGTTTTCGAATTTGTCTATTCAAAACCACCAAAATACTACGGAGCAAATCTTACTGGTTATAACACAAGTTCTTCACAGTTCGACGGATTACAACACTTTATGCTGGTTTAGGGTTTTATGGAAGCACTGCCACACACAGTATCATCGGTCTTGTGGGCTGAACGAGCAGAATCGGAACAATTCTTTTGATGATTTCATTTCAGTGAAATCCGTAAAAACGAATTGAGATTTTATTTATTCACATAGTGTCTACAGAAGGAGGACCATGTTTGATGAATTTCAGCTGATCTGAATACGATTGAAACTTTGGAGCCGCAATAATTTATCGCTTTCAATCGCATTCATCAAGTGGTTAATAGTCTTTGTAGTCAGCTACCACCACAGTCGGCGTTATAGAATAATCATGACCGCCATAACAGCGTCATTGTAATACTAGACTCAGACTTTCCACCAGAACTGGGATTTAATGAATTCTCGTACTTATTTCACAAAACGAATTACTTATCAACGGCCCTGCAATCTGACCTAGGCATCATCAACGAATTTCATGCCAACCGTAGAATTACTCCTTGAAAAGTATTATTGGTATGAAAAATAAATGACCTTTTACCCCCATAAAACAAGAAGGGTGCATGAATATTACTCTTGTCACCCACGCTTTACGGGTCCTAATTAACTTCCGTGAGGTTGGCTTGGAATTCAACGACATAGCTGGTGAGGTTGAAGGGAAGACGTCTAGAAAATTTACACGTACAATAAATGAAAACGAAACAAAACCCACAACGTAGTGTGGCTGTAACTCAACAGAAGTGCTGGGGTGTAAGTTGTCAATGAAAAGTACAAGTCCATATCAAGATTTTTGATCAATACCGAATTGTTGCCCATACTGCAAGTAACATTATGATAAAGTCAGATACTAGCTAGTGGCAGCAGAAGTGTATAGTGTAGACCTATTTAATCAACATGTGTATTCTAGGACAATACCATGATTTAGGCTTTGATCGAGACATGTATTATCGATCTACATGCATGATATGCTCAGGTTAACGCAGTTCCATTAGAGTTGTCATAGGATATATTCGCTCAATCCGTCATATCAACGTGCGATGCTGCGCGAGATACTCTTTTGAGTGAATATGCTTTCCAGGGACTTATGATTTGTCTCAACTACAAATGATTTGTCCAGCAAATAGACGCGCCCAATACGTAACCCGGATAGAATTGCCAACAATTCTTTTTCACGGATACTATAGTTCTTCCCAGCATATTTATACTTCCTATCACCGAAGGTAATTGGTCTCTTAATTTTGTTATCACCTTCGCCTTCCAGCTGAAACAGTACTTCATCTACAGCATAGTCGCTGGTGTTTTTTCGCATATGGAAGGGGCGATCAAAATTGCAAATTGCAAGCGTTGGTGTGGGGCTTATTTTCTTTTTCAGTGACTCGGAATGCCAACGTTGGACCCCACGAAATTTGCTTTTTGGGTTGTCTTTTTAGATGATCGAAGAGAGGTGCTGCATCGGTTGAGAATCCGTCACAAAATCTCTGGGCATAAACCGCTGTGCCAAGGAACGACTACAGTTCGCTCCTCGTTCGAGGCAATGGCCAGTTCTGTATGATTTCGACTTTCGTTTGGCCAATACTTCACAAGGAATTTCGTTCATACAAAACACCTATTTTGAACGTTTAACGTAAAATTGGTGCTTCTCCAAGCAGGTTAAAACACGACGAGAGTCGCCAAATGATCTACAACTGCCAGTGATTTCGTATAGACGTAGATGGTATCAAAACATAATTGACAGATACCACTTAGCTTTAATAGTATAATAGTATTTGTCTAATTCCCGCGTTGAACGTCGCTGGCGCATTAAATAAACCCATAGGTAATACGACATATTCGTTGGCTCCATCAGCAGTTTGAAACACTGTCAATGGTACGCCACTAGCCCTCATGCAGAATTGGTAGTATCCACTTAACAAGTCCATGTAGGAATACCAATGAAAACCTTGCATTTTCTCAATTATTGTGTCCTTACGTGGTATTGGTAACGTGCGTCGAACTGTATGTGATTTTATGGTTAAGTGCGATCAAAATCTCGCGGGAAAGCAACCCTGGCTGCCAGATCGCGAGATAGAGACTACAGAAATCCCACCCCAGACCAATACATCAAGTCCCCAAGATCTAACGTACGATAACATCGGGGGGGGCGACGGTGACTACGGATGCCCCAAAATCGACTGCACATGATGCAAGATGAACCCGCCGGAATGATGGATAGCGATATATCCATATCGTATCGTGATTATGCCGGATCAAGGGAAATTTGTGGACAGGAGTCGCTATCGACTGAAGATCCAGAATTATAGCTGACTAACGAACAGAGATCGAGGAGGAACGGCTACGTTTGGAGCCACGTCAATCACCGATCAAGATACGCGAGGTGTAGTCGATCCCAGGTCAAGATAAGATGGTGATCAGGGGCCCTGAGAAGGAGGCGGGACGAGATCGTCGGGAGGCAGCCGGCATGCGCACCACGATGAGCAGCAGCGGAAGAGATCACTGCACGACGGTGGCAAGAGATGACTTAAGACCACAGGCTGGGATCCCCGATCGCGATCGACAGATCCCAAGATAAGGTATGTATCCATATGTCAGGTGATCGTAGGAAAGTAGCTGAGGATGGGTTAGATGACATAGGGATAAAAGTAAACAGACTCGACTTTGCGCTAAGCCACACAAGAGCCCGCCTTCGCCTGGAATCGGGGGTTAGTTTGGCCCCTCAAACGCGTAGACGGTAAGGACTTAAAATCTAGCGTAGCGGTTAAGCCTGGATAATATACTGACCAGCTTTGTCCATCCTAGTGACCTGTTCTCAAGTTTGTATTTTTAATCAGAAGGCATTGATTGCTTGGCATAACGATTACATCGAATCTCGACCTAACAAGTTCCACGCTATTGGAAGCGGCAATCATACGTAAGGAAGGAGCGATATCTCCGTATATGGACCACCCAAAGACCTGAATCAACATTTAGGCAACTCGATCGCGGCTCAAGGACCCATCAGCGACCGAGATCGACTAGAACGAGATAGAGCGAAGGGGTTCCGCGCTATCTCAAGCCCCTGTGTTCCATCCTTTCCATATATACATCGAACGAGTCATTTAGGAGAGCGTACCCCGACCGGCGTCGGGTACACAAGGTGAACAACAACACAACCAGATCACAGAACATCGGAGGGCCCCCTTCGTTAGTCGGTGTTCAGGCGCCAGGAGTATCGAGACCTGCGTCAACGCGATTTTCGCAGATCCCGCTTCGACACAAATTCATGGCTCGATAGTCGTGCACTATTCGCCACCCTATTGTTTTTTTCGCGCAGAATGTAGGAGCACCATGCGGAGTAGTCGAGGGTCGGATTAGACCTGATGCAAGCAACTTCTCTATCCAAGCACTAATAACCCGCTCTTGCACTGGTGACTGTCGATGAAAAATTGCCTCAGAGGTGTCAATTTCCACCTGATGCTCACCATGATCTCTGTATGGCAATGATGAAGGGCATTTCTGTTGGAGTACCCCGTGGTGCTTCAACAAGATTGAATATACAGGGTTCTTTTGGTAACTATCAAGATTGACAGTGTCTTGGTCTTCATTTGCCCCTTTTTCTATCTTTGGTCGGATCGCAAAAGGTAAACTCAACATCGTTTGGCTTCTTCAATAGGCGACGGAATTGCTTTCCAATTATGTATTTTGTTGTGCCACTACGCAACGAATAGTATCCATCAGTGAATAGTTTTTTTTTTGTTTTCACAGTCATCCCCGATTGTGAGACTGCATGACAGCCACTCCCACTCTTAATGCTGGTTGACGAGGTTTATGATGCATTTTCACTCTTGTTTTTAGATGTTTGGATTTTAAGGTTTGCGATCCCTTTCGTAGCCTCCTGGGTCGACGTGGACTAATCGTCTCTTACACCCAATTGATGTCAGGATTAGCCGCTTTCAACCACGGCATTCCGAGGGGAATGTCTTGTTGTTTCGGAACAGAGAATACAACTAACTCTTCAACGTACCGATGCAATCTTAAAGTTTGTTTTGGAATTTTCATTTTTTGTCGACTGGCCAACACGATTGCTATTTCAACACCGTGGTCCTTGGTACTGTCTCGTAAACCGGTTCATTCACAAAACTCAGGTTTAACCCCGTTCATGGTAGCTACATTATGTTTGAGTTTGTTATTATCAAATCATCGCAGCTGCGCATTACAGTGCTGTTGGTATGCAGTAAACAACAATATTCACGGGGAAAAGTCAACATAACACTTGACTTCGCTGGAAGTTTTCCGAAGTCGAAAACCTCCGTGTTGTTGCTTCCACTAGTCACGCTCATATACATTGTGCAGTTATTGTTCTCCGGTTTCTCATGCAACAGGTTATTTGCATCGCCTTGGTGCACTTCAGGTTACCTTTCTGAGTTAATAGACTCCACTTCACAAGTATGAACAGGCTTCAGGCGACTGAGCTTTCGAGTATGTCCATGCAAACGTTCAACATTGCATGGGCTTACTCGTTTAATCGCTGAGGTTCATCATAAGTCTGATTTTCACCCACTGTCATGCCTCATAACATTGGGATTTGGGTGTTATTGTGTGGCCCTCGCCCGCAAAAACTACAATTCTTCACTGGTTTTGAGCTGTTACTGGTGAATTTGCCACCATAATTTGATCTACGAACCGTTGGGAGACTTGGTTTCCCCGAATCGGCTTGTTGAGGGGTATCCATTATGCTTATCTTGTTATTTGGTCGATTATTAGCTGCCTTGCCGCAAGCCAAATGCTTGTCTTTACGTTCCCACTCCAGAAATCCTTCTTGAATGACAGCATTAAAGTCACTTGGCCGCTTTCTCAGAATATTTTGTTTCATTATCGAATCGGATAATCCATTCAGAAACAGATTCATCACAGTCAGTGAATCAACTTGAACAATGTGATTTAGTTCTCGAAATTTAGCGACAGAGCCAATGTACCTACCAGTCTTTTTCAATGTTAGCAATTTGTTGCGAATTTTCTCTTGAGAGTTGGGTTCCATGAACTCAATCGACATTTCCAACTTAGTTGCACTCCATAGTTTGTTGGTTGAGATATCGTTCATGTAGCGCTCGTACCAAACTAGAGAACTATTCTGGTCACATTGGTTCAATTCTCAAGCGAATTTCTTATCGTGATGAATTAAATCGTATCCTTTCTGGCAGAAATACGATTCAAATTGAAAGAAAAAGCTATTCAACTTGATTCCATCAATATCACCAACGAAAGTCGGAGGTTTTGTATCCATGTTCCTCAAATTGAGTCCACTCAACGAGATGGCTTCATTTCTTCCTGGCGAAGTTGCTCCAACAGTGCTGGAGCCACGAACTGCTTGACCTTGCATCTCGGACAACGCATTCGTCGTGAAAGGTGCGCCGAGAGTGGCACCCACTGGTGGCGGTCTGGGCTGGGCATGACCTGCCCTAGCTTGCCTCTGTGCATCTTCAGCAAGTTGCTGTACTCGTCTAAGTCCTTCCGCAAGATTGCTTACACTTTGCACCAATCCGGACACAGTCTGAGCCAGCGAGGAGATATCCGTGCTGATCGTGGAATTCATATTGCTGATAGTACTGACCTGCCCTAGCTTGCCTCTGTGCATCTTCAGCAAGTTGCTGTACTCGTCTAAGTCCTTCCGCAAGATTGCTTACACTTTGCACCAATCCGGACACAGTCTGATCCAGCGAGGAGATATCCGTGCTGACCGAGAAATTCATATTGCTGATACTACTGTTGATATTGCAGCTAAAAGCACGAGTATTATCGTGGGTATCATCTAAACTCGTTTCCACACGGTCAATTCTGCCATTTTCGGTACTGTAACGATTTCCGTCCAACTGTTGTCGCACAGGCGCAGTGTCAATTCGTAACATTCTGTGAACTGTATTACTTCCTTGTATTGAATTTCAAGCTCTACTATGTCACACTTTTCCGACTAACAGGTGGTGAGTTGGAAAATGGATTTGGTAGCACTTTAGCGGAGGGGTTTCTTTTAGTATTTGTTAAGATGCCCGAGATCAGGTCTTGAAACCACCATACAATTTGTTGTTGAAAGGTGCCTGAGATTTTTTCTCAAGGTCATAAAGATGCGGTGTCTGTTGTTTGGCTAGAGCACGACTTTATTTTCTTCCTTCTGTTTCCGGAAAGAGCGGAGTTGCTCATCCGCTATTCCTAGTCTGTTGTGTGCTTTCTTATCGTCTCTACTGCTACTTGTACCGTTGACGTTAAAGCCGTTCCAACTTACTGTTGTGCATGTTGTATGAAGTCCTGTCGCCCGCTATTACAACATACGTCAGGTCGTTGTACCAATTTTCCGTTCACGAGTAGCAGAGCAACTCGTGACTGCTCAGGCTTCTTGACCGCTGACTGGAACCAGAACGCATGCAAGGCTCAGGTGGCACGATCGACCCTAACAAGAAGGGGAACCAGAAGTGCTGCAACGTCCCCGATACCAACCAAGCCAAGTTTAACGACTCGTGCGCGGGACAAAAGAACAGCAAGTTCGTGAACTACGCTGCCACCCCTCAACCATGTTAGATGGAAACATGCAGAGATGCCTGTAAATACCAATAGACGCTTCCAAGCATTGGAAACCTTGGGCTGTGGGAAACAAACTAACAGAGAATAGTGGATAACATCATTAAGGACATACGTTTTCGCGTAACCACCACTTTATGCCCAGAATTGCTGGTCGGATGCGTAAAGATTCTAGTTAGTTGTTAGGATCGATCGTGCCACCTGAAGCCTTGCATGCGTTCTGGGTCCAGTCAGCGGTCAAGAAGCCTGAGCTCTCATATCTGCTGTCTTTCTCTCCAGCACACTGCCTGAGAGCACCGTGACTGATGGTAGAGGTTAACAAAGACAACATGTGCGTACAAGTATCGAACAGCACCTACACGGGCATAAGAAGAGCAGCGAGGGCGACAACAACAATCAGCAGTTTCATTTTGAAAATGTGGCAAGTCGCTAGTTGACCAAAAAGGAGAAGACCTTGTTGTTGTTGAGGTATCAAAAGTCGAAGTGAGTTCATGTAGAATTAACATGCTGGCTTCGAGACTGTGTGGTGGGTGATGGAGGACAGCTGCAGCATCGTTTCCATAACGTATTACGGCACATCAATGATTCCAGTGTACATGTACATGTAAACTACAGGGAAGTTCGATCTCGAGATTGAGATGGAGTTCAATATCACGATGGAGTACAGTTCCGGTAACATGTAAATTGTTTACAGAGAAATCATCCCTGGTACCAAGAGTCTTGGAAAACAAATCCGGGTGACCTATGGTCAGTTGGTACATGTACTGACTGCTTTCGAGGAATAAAAGTCGGCAATTGACCAAATCAGCAATACCAAACAAAATGACCAGTACCAGTTCAATTTCAGTCATTGTATCTTTCGATGTGGGGGCGTGCCGTGAGTAACACAATGAAGACGTTTACATTGTAGCCCCACCACGACCAAGGTGTGGCGTGGGGGTTGCCCATTCACTTGGCTGCATAGTAGACTTCGGGATCATTGCTGGCGACATTCTGGTAGTCAGATCACCGCTGATATGTGTAGCGCTCGACTGCATCAGATCGCCATCGCCCAAACAACTTGCCTGCTAAACTGTCAAATACCGTATTAAACAGTGCTGATGCACCGCCGCGACAAAGTGAATTCGAGCCGAATTTCCGGAATCATGACCTGCCAATTCTCCAGCCTGCTTTATCGCCTTGACCAATATCTCGCACCTGTAGGTTATTATTTGAATCGACCTTGCACAGCAAGGGATTCGATCGCTTGACAGCAAGGTATTCGATCCGACCCCGAGCAATTTGTGGTAGCTGGTC